TCGGTAGCCACGCTTGATATAAAGCACAGATATCCCGGTGGCTTGTACGTAAGCTTACGTAACGTAATGTAAGGAATCGAGGCTGTGTGATCCAGTTTTAAGGTGCAACGCAACCCTTGGTTAGTGTGATTCTGAACAAAGAGATGGCGGTGGGATCGCCTTTCAGACCTGTACATCACTGCGAGAAATCGTGTGTGGTGGCGCTTCGATACAGTGGGGTATTTTTCTATATCCTGAATTTGACATCCCTGCTCCTTCGCTTATTTGTCTCTGCGCGAGCTTTCTTTGGAACGCGCATGACTGTGCCAGTTCTCGTGCAAGGTGGCCAGTTGCCTACGCTCCGAGCTCACGTCTCCAGCACATGTGGTCAGAGCGAAATGCAAAATCGTCCAGGGCCAAATGGCGAGACACATGCACAACAAAACAACTGACGCGCTAAAAAATATAAAATCGCCTGTGCGCCGTTAGCACCCCACGGGGATTTCGGAGGGCAATTACACATATTTCAATGTGATCAGATTTATATGACGAGCCACCCTTTTTGTCGTCGATGTGTTTGGCCAACTGTGGATTTCCAGGAAAACGTGATGACGCGATAGACGAGTTTTAAAAAATTCTAGCTTGAAGAATTAAATACCTCAAAAATCAAAACAAATTAACTTTTTTTTTTTTTGGGGGGGGGGGGGATGGATTAGTAGCTGGGTGTTTATTTTGACAAGACTTGTGCGTATCTCAAATACTCTACTCAAGATACTGTATTCCAAATACTTTTTGAAGTGTCTTGGTTTCCTGCAAATACTTTTCATCGAGAGTATTTGATACTCTCTTTTAATTACATTTCTGAATACCTTGTACTCATTGTCCCAAACACATTTTTGACATTTCTCCATTTTCAGAGTTTTTCGGTATGAAGTGACGTAGGCGTGGCACGAGCAAATGTAAACATTCTTTCGAGCAACCAGATCCTGTTGATAGCTCCGTTTAGCTACGGTGACTTTGACTGAGCTCGTGAAAACATCACTTTTTTGCCGATTGTGACTCATATTTCTGCCCAAATTTTGAACAATGAAGGTTTCCCCCTCGCCTTCACAAAGACGCCTTTTGTTTAGGAGTTAGAAGTTTCACACGAAGTATCCTCAAACAAAGAATGTGGTTTTACGGAAGTAAAGATTGCCACACTGAGGTGCAACGCAGACCGAGAAACGACCTATGACAACAATGCAGACTTGAGAGTCAATATAATAACAAATAGAAGAAAATGAGAAGTGGACACACACTAAAAAAGACATTTTTGTTTTGCTTTTTGTATATTCGACCCCGCTACGGCAAAACGTCCAGCTTTCCTTTTGTATCTTTTCTTTCTGTCGTCAGTCCCTCCACTTATCGCTCTTGCGAACACTGTCTGTAATCGAACACTGATAAGCAGAGACCAGGACAGGAAACGAACAACGAGCTGGATGACCTCTCCAAATGCCAACAAAGTGTCCCCCAACGTTGAGTGCCTTTCTGAAGCAACCTACTTGAAGAAGTTGCGACCACTGCCATGGCTATTATGGGGGTTATCTTTGTTATCCATTCACTCATGTCCGTATCCCAAGTTCGTTTATAGTGAATTCCCCATATAGGGAATATGGATTGTAGTTAAACGATGCGTCTAAGGAGCGCCGCAGGACGTAATATTCAGCGATGTCACTATTGGCGAGCCGCTCTGACCCGCTTGTTGCCCCCCGCCCCCTCTCGGTGTTTACCCAACACAAGGCCTGTGCACATGCCCACAGACCTTCAGGACATGTTCATGTCATCTTTTTTAATACAGTGCGGGGCACAGTGTAATGTAAAAATACCAGTAATTAGTGAAGTGACGTTAAGTGCCGGATGTCTCCCGAAAGCAGCCGTCAGAGGATGCGAGCTTTACCTACTTGGACTTTTGTGCTGAGCTGGGCACCGTGCATGCTACATTGTTCATGCAGGCCGGAGTGGTAACAAAAGAGTCCCTCCTCCACCTCTCTGGAGAACACGAACTCCAGCCGAACGCTGACTCCGCGTTCGGTTATGTCCACCGAGCGCTGAGCATTGTTATTCGTTGTCGCCATTCGTGTAGTTCTAAAGTTAACCGCTTGAGGCGCGACGGTCTGATCTCTTTGGCCTTAATCTCTTCCCCGATAGCTAAAGCGACCACTTTCTTGTTGTCCCAGAATTGAGTTGTTACATGTATCGGTGATATTGCCACGCGCGTTGACCAGCGAGTGCGTGGGCGACCATCTATAAACACTTTTCTCTTTCAACTACACACGGGTACACTTGCCGTGAAAACTTGGCTGCATCAGAAAAATATATTCGTTTCGTTGGGTGTTCACTGTTTTCTATGCAAAGTACCGGAGACAATAGAGCATGTATTTTTAGATTGTTGGGAAACTTTCCTGTTCTAGGTGTCCTCAAACTATTACAAAAAAAAAAAAAACTTCCCGATAACACCTCACGGAATTCGGTTCCTTCCCGTAGAAAAAACACGCTGAACTTCCTGTTGATTTTGTCATGGTCCTGGGCCTGCACGCAATATGGCGTTGCAAAATGGATGTGCGCAATGGTGAAGTAGATGCGCGCCCTTTAAGATTGTATTTTATTGAAAATGTGCGCCGTGTAAAAGCTTCGTATGTCATATTGGTTTGCCCGCCTGAGTGGTTATCCATACAGGATGTTCTGGAGCAGCTGAAGGGATTTTAAAGTTTATGTGCGCGTAGTTGTTTGCGCGCATAATTTTACTTTTAGAAATATTGTGTAAAAAAAAAAAAAGAAAGCGAGCGCGTGGTTGAATGGTTACCGCGCGCTTGGCTCTCGCGCGGAGACTCCAGGTTCGATACCAGGGAGCGGTCTCCTCTCTTATTTCTTTTTTCAAGTTGAAAATCTAGTAAGTTCAAGAACCCTGTCGTCTGATCGAGTTAGGAATGTTCCACGCGCCGAACGTTCTACGAGGAATGTTCCAGAATCCCACGCGGGTACAAAAGGTGCTCCGAGTGGCGGCCCAGAGTCAGTAGAGAGTTTTAGTAGACCGTTTTCGCTTTCCCGCTCCGCTCTATGGAAAGCGGAGTCGCCATCGCGCATGCGCGACCCGCTCTGGGATTTGAGCGTGGAGCGTCAGCTCCGCTATCGTCGCCATTTTAAGAAGTACGTTCCACTCTCAGTAAAGGTTCACTAGACGGTACTTTTCTGGAAAGGTGGGTGCTCGCTATTTGAAATCATGCTTGGGAGTGCGCTTGACCGTTATGAACCTCGCTGCACTAAGAAGCTGCGTAGACTTTGTTTGAAAAGGCGTCCCCCAGGAAACGTTTCACGGTGGTCAAGAACCTCTGGCTGCTCCGAGAAATCGCTGGCCGCAATCCTTTCACAGCCCCTGAACGGTGGGAACAGGTGCTGCCTTGTCTAAGCCAGCGGGCTCGATTTTTCTATGCGAGATGACGACGACGACGTTGAGAGGATGACACACCGGGCGACGGCGGTGTCTCAATCTGAGCCCTGGGCCTCGGTTCATCGGAGGCGGCAGCTTCTACTTCGGCTGGACTACCTCCTTGGACCATGATTCTTTGGCCCCAGTGGACCCCAGTGAGCAATAGCGCCATTATGTTCCTGGTGCTCCTTCATGCACTGATCGAACGGCGTGCAAGATCTTCATAGCTCGCTGCTCACCCGCCCAACCCGCCTCCACGAAGTCTGGACTTCTGCAAATCGGACTGCCACCCTCCCCAATACCAACAACCCATGTCGTCGTCATCATCTTGCACGTATATACTCATCACATTACCATGTTCCCTAGACGCGGCACCGCGGGCCTCGGTGGTACGGGCTGCTGCTTTCCGCGGTGCCGCGGCTCTCCAGAGCCAAAAATTAAAGGTTAAAGACCAAGGACTAAAGCAGTCGGCAAACGGACAGATATTTTGTTTGGTTACACCAGGCAGCAAGACAGTGAAAATTAGCGAAAGCGAGTGCTCCATTTATATCTCTACTTTTTTTCCCCAATGAAATGAGTCTTTTTTTCTTCGTATGCTTCGGTTTGTGATATGGTGCCTTGGTGTTTATGTACACTGCGCGACACTGTTAGCGGGAGCATTCAATATCCTGTTTTCATTTTTCACCTTAAATTCGAGGGGCTGACATCAGCCTATTGGTGTGGAATAAAGCGCTCGTTTGGGGCACTAATCTGAGCGACAAATTTTCAGCTTTTTCAATAGCTGTCAAAGAAATAAACCTCAAATAAAAGCGATTTTTTTTCGTGTTCGTATTAACAGTGGAGCGCAGTGTATGTATCTGCCTTGGGGGGTGACATGGAACCATTTTGCTTGACTATACACTTCTTTTTATTTCTTTTGTGTGTTTATGAAAGTGCGTTTTTCAGCTTAAGCTCCTGCCCAGTTTCTGCCTCACTTGTGCTACGGTCTTTTCTTGCAATAGAAGGCCACGCAACATAGTCTACTCTTACAATTCTGAATTCAACAGTAACACTGTAATTTGGTTAGATGCAATATTCACACGCAAATCTGAGAAGTAAAATGGGAGTCTTTAGTAAACGTTTTTTTATTAAAATATTTCTAGATGCCTTTCAGCCCAGTTGGACAGGTATTTCGCTCAGTACAAAAGCTTGAACATGATTTACTGTGATAATTTTATGAATTCTAATATTAAACAAACAAAAAAATGCCCATAGTCTTTGTAGGTTTCGTCCAGCCGTCAAATTATGCCGTCTCAGTCTGCGCACATCACTGCCTGGTGCTTCACGACGAGCACCCTCTTGTGGTCTTCTTCTAATTTTTTTGATGGACGGCATATGGGCATGCTGTGCGGTCAACAAAACCCCAACAGTTGTTCAGGGGTGTTCCCTTGTCCTTGACGGCCTAATAAAAAAGACAAAGAAAAGCACTCTTACAACACGGCAGTATTTAAACACCACCAAAACATGTGATATGGGACATGTTACTCCTCTAAGATGAAGCGTATTTCCATTGTAGGGTTGTAAAAAACTGGGTATCTGTCACGGAGTGGGTGGTTAAATTAATAAAAATAAAGCAATGATCCACTCTGAGGATAAACGAGAAATTACGGAAAAAAAACAAAAGAGCTAAGTTCGACCGGTGACTAGCGCTAGGTCCACGCCAGGTGTAAAATCAGGAAAGAGAGACGATGACACAGGGAGGATAAGCAAACAAAAGATTAAAAATTTAATAAAGTGAAATACTACGCCGCGGACGGCAAAAGAGCACTCTACACAAACCTCGCTCCAGTTAAACGCAATGGGGTCCCGCGGGCCAGAAACTAATACTAAAAAAGTCACGACACTCGTAAAACAGGATCGAGCCGACAAAACCGCGACGAAATCCCAACACTAACCAAAAACAAGGGCAAACCGAGACGGAACTCGAACGTTACCGCTACCCAAAAGGGACAATCCCCCAAAACAGTCGCGACAGGAAGTAGCGCTACGTATAAAAATGTCCCAAAGTTCAACAGTTCGTACTTCAGAGCCGGAGGATGGAGTAGACAAAACAAACAAAAAACAGCTTAGCTTTCCGGTAGGTGCTGAGTCCAGAGCAGTCCGTTGTCTGGAGATGTCGGCCGAAGAACGATGTCTCGGAGTCAGGCGGTCCGGTTAGAAGCTTGATGAGGTCGACACCGCGCACCACACATCCACCCACGCTTCAGCACAACCAACTCAAACACTTGCCCGACAGGCAGGGCAGAAGCCGAAAAATTAAACGTTCAAAAACTCACGTGCAGGGAGTGACTGCGTCGAGCAGCACCCCCGGCCAGCTCCGGGGCTCGACTACCTCCTTTGTTCCAGAACCCCTTTTTATAGGTTCGACTACCGACCAACCTCCCGTTTTCCCGCCTTTCGGGTCAGTCCACTTCCCAGAAAAGCAAAGGTATCCGGCGCCGACCCAAATGGGAAAACATACAGGCCATCCATTTCCCCCGTACGAGTCCAAAACATCAATTATCGTCGATACGTAGAACCCGACAACAACGACCGGCGCCAGACTGAAGACAGTCGCCGCCTTCAAAAGGCGCGCCAGCCAGCTTAGACATCTTTGTATCCCGGCGTCGCCTTCGCGTGTCAAATCGGCACCAGAGTCCGCAAACGCACCCCTCCGTCCGCGAGGCCCAAGCCACAAATTAACTTTGCCCCGGGGTGAAGCCTAATCTGAGTCGCCCGTCCACAAATACCTACCCCGAAAACGAGCAAACCCGTTGGGGAGGTAGAAAGGATAATACGACGGGACGAACTGGAGATTAAAAGCGGCACGGCACTCCCCGTTCCCGGACCGTACCGACACTTAAAGTGGTCCGAGAAAAAAAAAAAAAAAAAAGATAATAAAAATGAAAAACAAAATCAAGAAAAGCCTGAATTTGTGACACTACTCCCCACTTCAAGAACTTTTCACGCGTGAAAATTCAAAACACAGCACAAATTCAGACACCATGAAGCCAAACAGCTGCCTCAAAACGCAAAGGGAGAAACAAACACACACGTCTTCAGGCGGCAAAGAACATACAAACAAACGAACCAGAGAGAGCGCTTCGACGCCCCTGTAAGCAGGACTCTACAAATATGAAAATAATATTAATTAAAAATGACAAAAAGAAAACTTAAAGCCGGCCTAAATAATCGGCTCCAACGTTTCCCCGCCCTTTGTGTACTAAACTTGCTGTTCGATGGCGCCTCGAACTGCAAAGAATAGTGTCCGTCCTCTGTTGAGCGCTAAGGCCCGTCCCAAACACGACGTCTTTCGATCTCTCGCTTGTTTCCATTCTCAGCAAGGAGAAATCCCGTTCGCGATCCTCTTCTTCCTAAGTTACGACGTTGCAGACATTGGTCTCCCCCTCCGTCTGTCGCTCTTCGTACTTTGTCAGGAGGTTGCCGTGAAACAACCCTGTCGAGTGCCCCAGATCTACGTTCTTCATAAAGAACTCGCAAGGGTGTCTTTTCTTCTTGACAGTCATTTTCTTTGCCCTCGTTCAGGAAACAGCTCGGGAGGCCCTCGTGCCTACGTTGTTCTGCCAACAGAGCTTCGGGAGTGACAGTTTCATTCGGGATTTCCGGGACCTTGTGTGGCTTAGGTCCAGCCGTCTGGCTGCTCTTCTTTTGAAGCCTGGTTTCCACGGCGGCACTCATGGTAGATTCGACTTCCTTGCCGTTGTTGTCTTCGGTGGTGATCCCGTTATCAGCGGCTTCAACATCCCAGTCGGGATTGGACTCTCCTGCTGCCAGAGCCCCGGGAATGTTGCCCAGAATGATGTCATATATTGGACTCTCCATGCAGAGTGCTGTTACTTCGCCGCTGAAGAAAGGAGTGCACATCGACAGCCTGGCTTCGGGGAGTACCCTGACCGTTCCATCCACCAGGTAAACTGCTTTAGACGTTCCTGTGAGGTCTTCGTCTGAGATAAGGCTTCTCCGAACGACAACGGTGTTGCACCCGGTGTCGCGGAGGATCGTGACGACTCGCTTTCCCGCTTTTCCCGTTCGTACTGGTAGTCGATCCGTCAAGTGCTTCGTTTCGACCGCAATGATCGAACTTACGATCTGGAGTCGCTCCTCGTTCTTCAATTTCCCGTAACCGTTCTGATTGAGCCCGTCGTTCATCTGGCCGTTCTCAGTAGTCACACAGCAGGAAGCTTGAGATCGCCCCCGGGGTCCATCTTGGGATCCTCCCTGGCAGGAATTTGCGGTGTGGCCTGTCCGACCACATCTCCAGCAGGAGGGAGTCTTCGGGCCTTTCTCTCGGCAGTCAGCAGCCCGGTGTCCCAAGCGGTTGCAGAGAAAGCATCTCAAGGGAGGCCGTCCTTCTCCCGCAGGGTTCTTGTTGACGTATTGTGGAGCATCAGGGTTCGGTCTCTTCTCTTCCGACTTGAACCCAAGAGACTGGGCCCCTTGTGCTTCCAGAAACCGATCGGCCAAGTCGGCCATGTCGTCCAGAGTCTTTGATCCTCTCTCCTTGATGAAGATGGCAAGCTTCGGCGAGCACCCCTTTATGAATTGTTCGGTGAGTACTAGGTTCCGGAGAGTGTCGTACTCCTTCATCGTCTCGGCAAGTTCGACCCAACGGTCGAATAGGCTCGCCAGGCGCGCTGCAAACTGTGCTCCCGTTTCCCCGTTTTCCGGTTTGGCGTTCCGAAACTTTTCACGAAATCCCTCTGCAGTCAGACGGAACCGTCTCATCAATGCCTTCTTCACGCCCTCGTAGTCAACGGACTCTTCCGGTGTGAGTCTGGAAATTACCGACAGTGCCTCGCCCTTCAAACACAATGCCAGCATCGTAGCCCATTGGTCGCGAGGCCAGAGTTGTCCCAGGGCTAAACGCTCGAACCGAAGGAGATATGCGTCTAAGTCGTCTTTCTTTTCATCAAAGGCCGCCATCCAGCGTTGAGGACTCGTTAGCACGGCGCCGTGATTCGCCCCAGACCCATTCGTAGGGCTCGCATTTTCGACTTCCTTCAGCCGAATCCTCAACTCTATCATTTCTTTTGCCTTTGCTTGCCGCACGTCCTCTCGATCCATCTCATCTCTCACCCAGTTTCGCAGTTCCACCCCATCGTAGCCCAGCTCTCTCCCAAGCGCGGTTAATTCCACTCGCGACATGGTAGCACAATAACTCTCACACTCAAAGCAAGAAACAAACGATTACTCAAATCGCCCGCCCTCGTTCTTCCTCGCGGCCTTCCTTCGCAGTGGGGTCGTCTCCCCAACCTTACACCATGCCACCGGTCCTGTCGCGGACGCCAGTTTTTCACGGAGTGGGTGGTTAAATTAATAAAAATAAAGCAATGATCCACTCTGAGGATAAACGAGAAATTACGGAAAAAAAACAAAAGAGCTAAGTTCGACCGGTGACTAGCGCTAGGTCCACGCCAGGTGTAAAATCAGGAAAGAGAGACGATGACACAGGGAGGATAAGCAAACAAAAGATTAAAAATTTAATAAAGTGAAATACTACGCCGCGGACGGCAAAAGAGCACTCTACACAAACCTCGCTCCAGTTAAACGCAATGGGGTCCCGCGGGCCAGAAACTAATACTAAAAAAGTCACGACACTCGTAAAACAGGATCGAGCCGACAAAACCGCGACGAAATCCCAACACTAACCAAAAACAAGGGCAAACCGAGACGGAACTCGAACGTTACCGCTACCCAAAAGGGACAATCCCCCAAAACAGTCGCGACAGGAAGTAGCGCTACGTATAAAAATGTCCCAAAGTTCAACAGTTCGTACTTCAGAGCCGGAGGATGGAGTAGACAAAACAAACAAAAAACAGCTTAGCTTTCCGGTAGGTGCTGAGTCCAGAGCAGTCCGTTGTCTGGAGATGTCGGCCGAAGAACGATGTCTCGGAGTCAGGCGGTCCGGTTAGAAGCTTGATGAGGTCGACACCGCGCACCACACATCCACCCACGCTTCAGCACAACCAACTCAAACACTTGCCCGACAGGCAGGGCAGAAGCCGAAAAATTAAACGTTCAAAAACTCACGTGCAGGGAGTGACTGCGTCGAGCAGCACCCCCGGCCAGCTCCGGGGCTCGACTACCTCCTTTGTTCCAGAACCCCTTTTTATAGGTTCGACTACCGACCAACCTCCCGTTTTCCCGCCTTTCGGGTCAGTCCACTTCCCAGAAAAGCAAAGGTATCCGGCGCCGACCCAAATGGGAAAACATACAGGCCATCCATTTCCCCCGTACGAGTCCAAAACATCAATTATCGTCGATACGTAGAACCCGACAACAACGACCGGCGCCAGACTGAAGACAGTCGCCGCCTTCAAAAGGCGCGCCAGCCAGCTTAGACATCTTTGTATCCCGGCGTCGCCTTCGCGTGTCAAATCGGCACCAGAGTCCGCAAACGCACCCCTCCGTCCGCGAGGCCCAAGCCACAAATTAACTTTGCCCCGGGGTGAAGCCTAATCTGAGTCGCCCGTCCACAAATACCTACCCCGAAAACGAGCAAACCCGTTGGGGAGGTAGAAAGGATAATACGACGGGACGAACTGGAGATTAAAAGCG